TGTAAGGCCTAGGTTCAATCCCCAGCACCAACATGCTTAGTGGGTATGTGTAAGGCCTAGGTTCAATCCCCAGCACCATATTTAATATTTAATTTTCCTATTGATGAAAACATACATTTGAGAGCATTAACACTAAAATTCTGGGGTAAACGCTCAGAAATATGGGAATATAAAGCTGAAAGGGCTTACAGACAGTATCCAATCTTTTCACTATCAGCCTGGTATCCTTTCTTGGGGAACTACTTTTCAACTTGAGGGGCTCCCAGTGAGGCTGTCAATCACAGGGGCCAACTGTCCTCACCACCCACTCACAAAAACCCTGGGGGTGGCACATGCCCCACTCCTTGCAGTGGTGGCCCTTCATCCCGGTGATCAAACTATCCATATCCAGGACCCCAGTGTGGCCCAGAGGGTCAGTTCTCCAGAGAAGCGCAGTGTGGATAAACCCGTGAAGATGTGGTCTGGAACCCACCTGTTGCCATTCAAGAACTCCCAGCCTCTGAGAAGATAAAGCAAACACAGAGAAGCAGAACCCTGATAAGGACACTGAAGCTCCTGGATCTGGCCATTCCTGAAGCTCACCTCCAGGAAATTCCATCTGAGGTTATACACTGGGTTTCTGTCACTTGCACCCACAGGAGTTTTGAAAAATATCTCATGAGATTTGTGAGAAGACCCCTAGAATTCAGAGGTACAGCAGAGGCAGGAACATGAGATTCCGATACCCTCTCCCTTTTGGAGTACATTGTCCTGTTTATAAAGAAAGGGGTTACTATGTCTTTAATAGGCACGAGGCCCTGTGGGCTGTGTGCTTTCAGCCAGAGGTGGGAGCGGGTAGGTGCGGGCCTCTTACCTTCCTCGCCGCTGTCCCCTCGGTCCCCATCCTGGCCGTCCTGGCCGTCTCTGCCGGGAAAGCCCATTCTTCCCACCATTCCTGAGGGCCCTGGGGCTCCTGGGGGACCCGGCGGGCCCTGGGGGCCAGGCAGGCTGCAGACGAGTTGAGGGGAGCCCTTCTGGAAGTCTCTTCGGGCAAAGGCAGCAAGCAGTGGGTCGGCAGCACAGGGGAGGGCACATGCCAGGAGTACCCAGGGGATCATCGTGGCCGCCTGTGGGAGCGAGAGAGCTGTGGCAGGTGAGTGTGGCCATGGCGCTGGCTGCTGGGCAGTCCGGGCATCCGAGGAGGAGGGGGGAGGGGGAGGAGACGGAGGAGGGGGAGAGGAGGAGGAGGGAAGAGGAGACAGAATAAGAGGAGGGAGGGGAAGGAGGAAGGGGGAAGGAGGGGAGGGGGAGGAGACAGGAAACTCTGGTATATATAAACAGTGGAATATTATTTAGCCTAGGAAAGGAAATCTTGCCATTTGCAATAAATACTATGGATGGACCTGGAGAACACTGTGCTAAGCAAAATAAGCCAGTCACAGAAGGAAGAATGCTTCATGATTCTATGTAGATGAGTGCGCTGTAATAGTCCAACCCATAGGAGCAGAGAAGGGAGTCTGTATTTTTTGCTGGGGGCCAAGGAAGGCCTCCCGGTGACGGTGACTTGTAGGCCCTCTGTGATCATGGTGACGCCCAGGGAACCGTAGGCCCGTGACCTGTGCAGGTGGGTCCAAGTCCCCTATGGAGCCTCCCTTGGTGCTGTAACCTGCTCTGAGCAGAAGGCACAGTGGGCTTCACAGGTAGAAAGGTGACATCGTATGTGTGTGTACCCATTCCCAAAGGATCTTGGGCAGGTCCCGCAAACACACAGGAGCCTGGCCACCCAGCGGGGGGCATGGAGCCAGGCTCAAAGCCCTGCAAGGGGCAACGGAGGCCTGTGGCTCTATGTAAAGAAAGACAGATGGAGGGACACAGAAGCGCTGGGTGTATGTCTGGTGCTCCGGAGAGCTGCAAACATGACTTTGGGGGTGACTGTCAGAGGGTGTTGAAATTAACTGACACATGAGATGCTTCCTGCCGAGTGGAGAGATCAGTCTACTGGGCAGAATTTACAGAGGAACACTTAAGAGCCCATTCCATGGCTCTCAGCTTCTCAGGCCAAGAATTTAAAAATGTAGGGAGGACAGTGGACCACGTCATCGAGAGTGGAGATCTTTCCTGTGAAGATGTCAAGTAGCAGGAAAGAGAAATCCAGGTGGAACAGGGGGGCGGGTCAGCCCTGCCCCGACTCTGCTCTGCTCTCTGTAACAAATAATGACACTGTTTTTCTTTGCAGGGTTGGGGATGGAACCCAGGTATTGTTATGCTAGGCCAGGGCTCTACCACTGAGCTACACCCCAAGCCTCACTGAGCCGCTTTGGCCAAGAGGGGACACCACAGCTGCAGCAGGCTGGATCACGCCCCCGCCTGAGTGGAGTGGGGGTGCAGCTCTGGGACCCACAAGGAGGAAGGGCTTTCTCAGAACTGGCACCGTGAGGTCTCAGCAGCCCGAGAGAAGTCCCGGCACCTCGAGCCAGGAACTATTTTGGAAATAACTGGAAAGGCTAGACTAGAAGGGAGGAGCACCTCTGCGCCTCCCGTGCATCTCCAAGAAAAACAAGGCTCCAAACAGCCCGGTCCCAGCCTGTGCTCTCCCCCGCCCCACTCCCCACCACCAGTTGCTGAGAAAATGGGGCAGGAGCGCGGGAAGGTTAGAGGGCAGCCACAACCCCAAGGACTGTGCACAGGTTCACTTCCAGGGCCTTTGGCTTAAATGTAGAATCATAAACCTGAGGACGGCTCCAGCTCTGGGCTTTACAGATGGGGCAACAGAGACCAGGTGACCACAACACACCTGCAGTGCTGGGGCCCCGCAGGAGGCGCTCTCTGTCTCTGCACTGTTTTATTTGAAGCGTACGATGAACCCCAGCCACACAGCACGCTCACTGCCCCGATTTCCAAAGGAGGAAGCAGGCTCCCAGAACGGAATGACTTCCCAAGGTCGCAGGAGCAGGGAGCAGTGGAGACACCCGAGCCACACTGAGCGTCTCTGCGGACCACGCTTGCTCCACTCTAGCCCGTCCCTTCCCCTGCTGGCTTTTGTATTTATGCGTCCTTCTCCCTCCTGTGTTACAGCAGCGGAAACAGACTCAGAGAGGCTGATTTGCTCATGTTTCCACAACTAGTCGGTGGCAGAAGTTATATTTGAACTTGGGCTTGGCTGCCCCTAGCACCCAAGTGCTTTCCATTATGTCAGCATTTCTGAGATTTTTCCTCCCAAATATCCCGAATTACAGACGAGACCTGAAGCGTACAGCAAGCCGCACACAGAAACAGAAAGATCTCCTGGATATCTTGTGCTTTATTGTATAACTACACACACACACACACACACACACACACACAGACTTTGAAAATGTAGATGTGCTGCGTCTTTCTTAGGACACCCTCTGTACACGGATGCTGAAGGAAAACCTGTCTCTTGAGAGGCCCGCGCTTGGCTTAGCCACCGGATTGGGGTGAGGAGAGCTAAGCCCTGATGCCTCTGAGCCCTGATGTTCAGGATGACGTACCCAGGGGCTGAGCCAAAGGATGGGGGTGCACAAAGCACGCGGCAGAGCCCTCACTGGATCCTGCCACGCGGCCATCAACCTGTCGTGCTTACAGCCCCCAAGCCCTTCCCTCTCCCGCAGCCAGCAGGAAGGACAGGCTAACACAGAAATCAGCCTCCTCCTTCCCCAAGGCCTCCAGCAGCTGCTGGCTGCAAACAGCAAACAGCAAACAGCAAACATGGGAACCCCTGACACAGCCCTCAAGGCCCTGAATGACCTGGCCCCAGCCTTGCCTCGGCCTCGCTCAGCTCCTCCCTCTTTCCCACTCCCTGCGGCTGCCCGGCCTCCCCAGGCCCAGCTCTACTCCAACCCAGCCAGCTGGGCAGGCACAGGGGAGCCTGCGTAAGCCAGGGCTCCACCCTCTGGCTTGCCGGCTGTTTATCCCGTTGCGTTTCCCTTTAAATGTCACTTCCTGCAGGTCCTCCAGGAGGTCCTCTCCCACGGCTCTCCCTTTGGTCATGGATCCTAGCTTCTTTCCTGGCCCTGAGAACCAATTTGCTGGCATTCACTTTACTTGGCTACCTCTCCCACAAGTCGCCTGTTAAAATGTAAGTCTTCTGAGAAAGGCCCTAGCTGGCCACCTGGCTTCAAACATTCTCACGCACAATGAGTATTTAAGAAATAGTTGCTTAATCAGTAAAAGAAAGAGCAGCATGTCTACATATTCAAAGTCATGGCGCGCGCGTGTGTGTGTGTGTGTGTGTGTGTGTGTGTGTGTGTATACACATGTGCGTGCATGTCCTCAAAAAAGCCCGTAACAAACAGAAAACAAGCCAGTGGCCTAATACCAAAAAAGGCACCAGTACCCGAGACTCAAATAACTTCTTTCTAACCCAACCCAGACATCATCTCTCCTTCTCTGACCTCCTACATGTAGGATTTCTTCTCTGCCCCCTGATGCTGGGGGAGGCGGGTGCTGGGCTTGCACAATACCTTAGATACGCCACAAATAGTTTTTCAATTGATCTGAAAGAAAGTTAGCACTAGCTCTCTTAACTACCTAAAGTGCCTTTTTCTGGGTGTGACAAGCTGTGAGCTGCATAGGGAAGGCTTCATCACCATCTTCTGGCTGAAGGGGAAAGCTGTTAGCTGGTTAAACCCCAGAAATGGAATCATGAGGTGCTAACCTTGGACGAGTTCTGAGGTCTGGCTTTAATTTGCCCAGTCCTGGGCTTCTCACCTCTCAGTAGAGCAGCTAATGACTCATACATACACGTGTTCTCGGAAAGCCGGCTGCAGGAGCCAGGGCGCTGCAGCCCAAAGCCTGCTGTCTAGGGACGAGCCTTTCTCTTTCCCACTTTTACCCCCGACCCACCGGGCACAACCCTCTGCTGCAGTGTGAGGAGAGGTGGAAGTGGGGCTGAGTCGTCTCCTGGGTTCTTCTGGAATGTGGTCTGCTGCTACGGACTGCAGAACACCTGTCTGGTCCTTGAACGGGGCTCCTAAGCCTGGGTGCAGAAGAATCTCCCTTTGGAGATTCGATCATGTCAGTTATGCTCCAATAACTATTTTATCTGAAGTGCAAAAGAACGCTTAACTCAGTGACTAAGAGCCATAGGAAACCCGATTCCTCAACTACCTAATGGAAATAAAGGCACACTTAGCCCATGGACTTGTGGGAGGAATGAGGCTGCCTTCAAGGTAGCTAGCACAGAGTCTGACACTGCACATGCTCGGTAGTTGGACAAAGGTTGGCGCCCAAAGCCCTCCATCTTCACCTCCTCTGCAGAATCCCTCAGTTGCCTGCTTCCTCCACAAGCCTCAGTGCTGACGTCATCTCAGAGAGGCCCTGCTTGTGCTCAGACCACCTGTTCTTCCCCTCAAAGCCCCGGGCCCAATTTGTGGGCCTGTATCTCCTTGTCTTTTGACTTCTTAACTGTCTGTCCCTCCTGTGAGATCCAGAAAAGCGGGGCTCTGCTGTTGCCCTCTCTTGTACCACATACGGCATTCTCAACACATAGTTGTTAAACAGTCTCGAACAAAATAGTCATTCTTATAAGTACTAAAATATCAACAGAATCACAAAGGATTTCAGCCTCAAACAGTGGCCTGTAATCCCAGCAGTTTGAGAGGCTGAGGCAAGTTCAAGTCCAGCTTGGGCAGTTAAGGAGAACCTGTCACTGAAAACACCTGGATATGTAGCTTAGTGCTCCTTGGATTCACCCTCCAGTATAAAACCAAAATATTTTGATAAATATGTGGACAGCAAATTCACACGAGGTTACTGAGGAGGACTTGGGGAAATAACTGGCCTTGGATTCAGAAGCCCCTGAGTACCAGTCGTAGTGTGTAATTTACTGGTTGTGGGACTGTGAAATGTCACTGCATCTTAATCAGACTTCTGCTTCCTCACCTGTAAAGTGAGGATAAGAACCCTCGCCTTACCGGACTGTTTTGAGACTTAAGTAAGATAATGAATGTGAAAGCAAAACATCAAACAAAGTTACAGCCCTGTTCAAAATTGGAATTGAGGTACACCGCAGGTGAACTAAGGGATAGCAGGCCTGACCTCCCACTAGGAGCCCCTGAGGTGTTCCAGGCGGACCTCACCCTGGCGGAAGAGGAAACCTGAATGGGACCCAACAGCACAATTCTCTCTATTTACAGTTAAAAGCAAGAAAGCTGCTGGTTGGGATAAGACAGAGCTTGCTTGCAGATAAAGCTTGCTGAAAACCCGCTTTAATGGGAGTAAGAATTCTATAATGGAAAACACCCTGCCCTCTCCAAATTCCAAGAAACAAATTGGAAGCAGCCCTTTCCATTGTCTCTGAAAAGCTAAGGAGACAGAGGACTGGAGGCAAAGGGCGGGCTGCAGCTTCACACAGTGCCTTCGCGGGGCCCCCTTTCCTGGGATTCCAAGACCGGGGTGTATATGGAAACTCTCCAGTATCCAGAGTGGAAATTACAAAGGATTAAAAGTCAGAGGGCCCTCTTGCAGCAGGCCTCTGGGGGGAAAACATTGATCTGCTATTTTCTTTCTTTCTCTCTCCCTATTTTTGGCTGTGCTGAAAGAAAAAGAAAAAGAGGTCCAAGGAGAAATTATGACCTAAAGAGAGGTCTCAAGCCAGGATCTTGCAGGCTTTGTCTCAGCAAGTATCCCTGGAAGCACACAGGAAGTTGGCCTTGGAAGTAACGCTGCACAGTTGGATCTTCCGATGCATACACCCAAGTGCTTTCAAGTCAACAGCATGGTGTATAATGTGGTAGCAGGGGGAGCCACCCTTCTGGGCCCCAGGAAGCCTTAGGGCTAAGCTTCAGCTGTCTGCAAGCCAAAGCCATCAAACTCTGGACCTGCCACAGCTGTGGCAGCTGTTTTGTGCAACGTGGAGACCAAGGACTGCAGAGAGGGAGAAGGACACAGCTGCTGTGCAGAACACGAGGGGGAGGGACGGGGCCAGCGGGTGTTTGGATTCCTGGTTCCAGCATCTCCAGAGGGCCAGCCTCCACGTGGCAGACCAAGGTGGTGGGGGAGGGTGTTCGAGCGCCACGGGCCAATAGGGAAATGACACAAGTCATTTCAGATGGTCTCACTGCCACATTAAAAAGCATAGAGAAGCAGATGAAATTAATTCCAATGTGTTATTTAGCCTAATATTGTATATCCCAAATATCACCACTTTAACATGTAATCATTGTAAAAATTATTAATGTGACATTTTACATTCTTTAGTTAATACTAAACGTTTGGAACCCAGTGATATATTTTATACATGCAGTGCTTCTCAGTTCAAACTGGCCACATTCTAAGTGGTCAAAAGCCACGCAGTGGCCTCTAGCTTCATTCAACATGGCTGCCTGAGTTCACATCCCACAGATTAGCCGTGTGTGCTTGCCATGGCTTGATTATGTTCTCCAAAAGGTCATGTGTTGGACACTTAATCCTCAGATTCATACGTTAGTGGCAGCTGAAGGTGAGACCTTTGGAAGATAATTAGCAGTAGATGAAGTCACGAAGATGGGGTCCCATGATGGCATTAGTGGCTTCATAAGAAGAGAAAGAGCAGCCCAGGATAACATTCCTGCTCTGTCTCACCTTGTGATTCCCTCTACATGTTACAATGCAGGAAGAAGCCCTCACCAGAGGCTGGTGCCATACTCTTGGACTTCCCAGCCTCCAAAATCATGAGCTACACGGACCCCTCTATTCCTTGTTTGTTTATTTGTGGCACTGGGGCTTGAACCCAGAACCTTCTTGCTGAGCAACATCTCCAACCCGCACTTTCTTTATTTTGAAACAGGGTCTCACTAATTTACTACATTGCTCAGGCTGGGCTAAAACAGCCTCAGCCTACCAGAGTTCTGGCATTACAGCTGTGCACCACCATGCTAGGCTTAAATGTCTATTCTTTATAAAGTATTTGGTCTCAGGTATTTTGTTATAATAACAGAAAATAGACTGCTACTTCTGTTCTGAGGCAAGGATGGGTATAAAGGCCAAATCTCTCTAAGACCTTCTTCTGATAGAAATTGACAGAAATACAACTCAAACTAACAAAAGTGAAACCACATAATACTTTTACACTGCTAGCCATGTGCCAGGCCTTTTTCTAGGAGCATTAAATCCTCAAAACAACCTTTTCTAATTTTAGAGAATGAGGAGGCCAAGGGAAAGAGGTTATATAACTTATAAAATGTTTAGTGGTCAAGAGTCATTTTCTAGCTGTTCAACCTTAGGCAAGTTATTTAACATCTCTTGGCCTTGGTTTCCTTTTCTGTAAAATGGGAACTGTATAGTTTGTAGAGGTTTTAGTCCATAATCATAGGTTCCAAGGCAGGGTGGCATGGCAGACAGGCATTACAGAGGATAAACAGTTCATGGCAGGCAGAAGGTAGCAAAGTAACAAGGGATAACTGCAGCTCTTTTTGTCCCTTATATCTTATCCAAGCTACCTGCCCTTAAGGCAGGTAGCACTCACACCTTTAATCTTAGTGCCCTTGATTCTAGCATTGCACCATGAATCAATCCCAGCATCACACGTGATGCATCCACCTCTGAAAAAGCCCCATGTATGACCACATGAGGCTTTGAGGGGATATCTAGATATAAACCATAACATTCCACCCTTGGGCCCCCAAAGATTCATGAACATTCCTTTATACAAAAGGAATTTGGTCCATCTCTAAGAGTTTCCTAAGTCCTAAGTTTCAGCACTGCTGAAAAGTCCAAGTCCAAAGTCCCCTTTGAGATTTAAGGCAGACTCAGCTGTGAGTCCCTGTACAAATGAAAAGCAAGTTAAACACTTCCAACATTCAATAACAGAAAATAGACATTATCATTCTGAAAGGTACAGATAGGAGGATACAAAGGGATCAGACCAAAGCAAGCACAAATTTCCAAGAGGGCAAATATTAAACCCTGTAGTTCCATGTCCAGCTTCCCCAGCAATCTGTGGCAAGATGTGAACTCCAAAGGCCTTTGATGGCTCCACCCTATGGCCCTTCCAGTGGTTGTTGCTGCCATGGCTTCTCTCTGAGGCAAGCTCCAGTCCCTCCTCGAAATTTTCCTCAGATGACCTACATTCCTGGCTTCTCCAAACTTTTGCAGTCTCCACTACACCTTTGGCTTCACACTCACAGCTTCACACACTGCCTTCTCAAGGGCACACTGCCTGGCTTCCCAAGCCTTCTTCTGAAATCTGGGTGGAAGACTTTTTGACCCCACAACTCTTGCAGTCTGCATGCACCTAAAACCAGCACCACACAGATGCCACCAGCTGGAGCAGTAGTCAGGCTTCCTTCTCTCTTAGCTGTAGTGGTCAAGTGCCTATGAAGGAAATCCTCAAGAACAACCTCCCTAGGCCACTGCCATTCTGGAACATGGTGCCCTGGGGCTCTCTTCTCAAAGTAAAGTCTTTCATCTTTGTAATTCTGAGACTGTAAAGGCTGGAGTCCTGTTGGTTCTTGTGATGTCCTCAGGCCATTTTTTCTGTTGTCTTCTTCTGAAATACTTGGCCTTTTCTTGCTAGTTTTTTTAAGCAACTAATTTTTCTTCTGTTCCATCTTTGCAGACTGCAACTTTACTGGGGTTTCCTTTCTGGCCATATTCACAATGTTTTAAATCATTCTACCAGGATCTTTGCTCTTGATTGTCAATATACGTCTGGTTAAAATCTCCAACAGTAGCCATGCCACTGCCTCAACATCAGACGGCCTTGAAATTTCATCTAGAAGATTAGACTGTTGCCCTTAATCTTAGTTTGAAGCAGCCCCTGGACACGAACAAAATGCGTGCAAACTTTCTTCCAAGGCATGACACATATCATCTAGAGTCCAACAACCTGTGCAGTCCTTTTTCCCAGCAGAAATCTCCTGAGCATGGTCTTTACCAGCAGAATTTCTATCAGCATTCTGGTCTTCTGAGCTCTGACCAGAATTTTCCAAATATAGCCTTAGGTGTTCCAGCTCTACTTTTTCAGATGGCATCTGCAAACCTTTCCAAACTCTTCCTGCAAGCCAGTCCCAAAGGCTCCTGAACCACCTGGTCAGGTATAGTCACAGCAACGGCCCCACTCCCAGTACCAAATTCTGTCTTAGTTTCCACATTAGTGAGACAAGATATGCAACACCCAAAGTTAAATGAGGAAAGATTTATTTTTCTCACAGTTTGTAGAGGTTTCAGTCCGTAACTGGCTGGCTTCAAGGCAGGGTGGTATGGCAGAAACATTTCATGGTGGGCAGAAGGTAGCAAAGCAATGAGGGATAACCACAGGTCTTTCTGTCTCTTATATCTTATCCAGAATACCTGCCATTAGGGGATGGGTAGCACTCACACCCTTAATCTTATTGCCCTGATCCTAGCATTACATCATAAATCAATCCCAACATCACATACTCTAGATCCGTCCATCTCTGAAAAAACCCCACCTGTGACCACACAAGGCTTTAGGAGGACAAGCCATAACACCTGGCATCCTTTAAGAGGTGAGTTTTGAATTATCTGAAGTCTGCAGGAATGTCTCCTTTGAGTAACTAGAGAGTTCCCATTTTCCTTATAGAGTAATTTTGAATATCAAGTGAGATAACTGCAATAAGCAGTTCACAGCAAGCACTCAGTAATGTGCTATCCTGATATAATAATCACTGTGAGAACAGCCCAAAAGGATATCAGGGAGAAAGTGTGGATGCACAAGCAGACCTGGGTTTTCATGAGGAGTTGAACACTTGTGAGCTTTGGTGTGACAGCAGCTGATGCTATTTTCTAGCACAGCATAAGTGTGTACATAGCAGGATTTCTATAGGTGTGCCCTACTTTTAAAATGGTTGTCAGCCAGGCATGGTGGCACATGCCTATAATCCCAGCACTTGGGAGGCTGAGGCAGGAGGATCACTGTGAGTTCGAGACCAGCCTGGGCTACAAAGTGAGCTCAAGGCCAGCCTGAACTACATAGCAAGACCTTGTCTCAAAAAGCCAAAAAAAAAAAAAAGTTGAAAGACTCTAATATAGTCATTCCATGTCAATTTTTTTGTTAAGGTTATTATGTGCAAGAAGGGGCTGTAAGGGATTAAAAAGATACTGGATATGACCTTGCTACCCAGGAAATTACATCTAGGCAAGCGTGATCAACTGGCTAATCAATGGCCTTATGCAAATCACAAATAACACCTTGCTTTTTGTTTTAACTTGAAATTGTGGACAAATTAAAATTTGGGATTTTAAAAATTTTTTGAGATAGGGTCTCACTGTGTAGTCCATGGATAGCCATAATCTTGCTATGTGGATCACCCACCCAGCTCGTGCCCGGGTTCCAACTAAGCTCACTCCAACTCCAGAATCCTTGCTCTTGGCCAATGTGCTCCATTTTCATTTATGGCAGTGGTACAATCTGATGAATGCTGTTGAGATTGGATACTCTCACTATATACTGTCCCAGCTTGACATTTAGTCCCTGTGTAAAAGCAAATTGGTTAACCCCTCCAGGCCTCAGTCCCTTACTCTTTATTTATTTTTCTTTTAAGGTACTAGGAATCAAGCTCAGGACCTCACGCTTGCTAGGCAGGTGCTGTGCTGCTGAGCTATACCCCCGCCCCAAGTCCCTTACTCTTAAAAAGGATGAGTGTTACCTATGTCTTTGCATTGGCAGGATAGATGAGATAACGCAGGTACAGAAGCACTAGGAAGGCTCTTAGTCAATTGTAGATGCCCTTAGCATCATCTCCATCACTGTCATCTTCATAATCTGTCTAGTGTATGAATACATTAATTTTTAGGTGAGAAGAGGAAGAATAGTTTGAAAATTTCAACAGATTTAGAAGAAAGCAAAATCTCAGTTAAGTGTGGAGAAATTACCAGGGGTAGGAAGAAGGCAAGTTCCAAGGAAGTACTCTACCACTGAGCTACATCCCCTGCCCAGGTAAGTTCTAAAATATGCCTTATTCCCTGTCGTTGTTCAGAGGCAGAACATTTCGTACAAAGGCTCCTTATATTCCACACAATCCCTCTCTCCACTCCCCAAGCTCTTCTCAGTTCAGGCCAGCTTTGAACTCATGGTACTCCTGCTGCAATCTCCTAAGTGCTTGAATTACAGACGCGGGCCACCATTTCCAGCTGGGAAATTTTCTATTAAAGTAA